ATAGTATATTCCAGGCTTACTATACGAAAGTGTGCGAATTCTAATAAAGGATAATACCTATCACATGAGTAATTATTGAAGATAATTACTAATACATTTTAATGATGATATTGATGATTGATCATCGAACTTAAGCTATGCAATATCAATACAACAAGCTGCGAATGAAGAAGAACCTGTAGCTGCAGTAGAAAAAGATTTATCGGGCTATCGGCTATTAAGTTTATTATTGAGAACTTGCAAATTATTTTGTCAAGTTTATTTTACATGATCCGAAATGCATACGTAGGCGTATTTTCGATATAGTGACCACTGGAAATGTCTCTATGGATTCCGCCAGCGATTCGATACGTGGCAAATGCCAGGTAAGTTGACCCTTGAACAAGCTCAAATGAATGACTTGAGAGTAAAATGTGTTATTCCATATATTCTAACATCTGACACTAACTACTATACTATAGCTTTAGTTTGGCAATATTATGTTACTACAGTTAGTATTATATTATAATCAGGAGATGAAATAACAGTGGTCCAATTGAATTGGTAAACTGGCTATTTAAGTATCGTATAGAATATGAGTAATTTCGCCATTGCTGCTTCGTGTTAATGACTATGCCTGCGTTTGCTATCTCTAACAGTCAGATATTACTATCTACCTACAGTTAGCAGAGACACACGATGACTACTTTCGAGCTCGAGCTGAAGCCTCTAACTTTGATCTCTTCGAAGCCTTGGTATCTAGACAAGTGGTAAGAAAAAAGGTGCTTTCGGATCATACATGTCTTTAACGGTCGCCTCTAGAATTTCGACGAGTCGTTAGCTACTAATAAATAAAACCAGAGGAAACAAAAACGCGCAGAATTGACATTTTGTGAAACTTAATGGTAATTTTGTGCTAGTAATAATCTGACTTTTCTCTAATATCTTCATATACGTCCATCGTTTTAATTGCCACTAGGTCATTCAATGATACAAGCGAAGCTGAGACAGAAGACAGAGTGGTCGAATGTATAACTCAGTCAAAAAGCAATTTTGGCCTTCAACTAAAAACTTTTGAAAAGTTATTTGATTAATCACCATGGTGATAATTGCACCGGATATTAAAGGTCAGATTTTAAAATATAGTTATGAGCACAATAGCGGCAACGTAATCGTAATAACGAGGCACCATAATTATTGGGGATTATAATTATATACCATTGATATGGACGTGTTACGGTAACGTGAAAATGCTAGTTACGACTGGTCGTCCTGGTATTTCGAAGACCGTGCGTCCTCTGAGCTGGTTAGAATGCGTCATGATCGGTGCTTCAAGATGGGCCGCATAACCGATGTACTTGCTGAAGGAAACAGAGTATCGATTTCGAACCGAGCGCATTTGGGGCCTGAAACTGAAATTCGCCAGGGTAAGACCACTTTGCGTTGACGTGCCCCCTTTTTTGCTCTAGCGGCAGCAGAATGTGTTCGATCTTCGTGTTTGGGAGCGACCACGAGGCTTATCCGTCGCAGGAATTTACCCTCGCTACCGTAATGAGGTTTGTTAGCAATGAATAATACACTAACTTCGCACTTAAATCGTGGATAATTCTTTTCGAAAACGCTAGTTTACGGTAAAGACATTTGGCCGTTTTGATGGCTGCTGGAAAATTTTTTGAAGAGATCGTTCCCGCGCGTTCTTGTCAAAACGTACACGAGGCGTTCCTTACGGGACCTTCCGTACTCTTAATACTATTTAATATCTTATATGGACACTATTTCTTTTCACCAGGCATTCAAATGCTTTGAGCCATTTGTTGGGTCGGAACCTCTTGAGTGACAGGTCCGGCAATTCCCTCCGATCAGCCCGAGAGTCGACTAACACGCTGAACATCGCGTAGATTCATATCGCTAGCCTTCCCACTGCTGCCGTTTACACTGCGCCTGTAAGCGTATATTATATATATATATATATATATAGATATATATATATTATGCGTTGGCCCGCTAGCATGAGGCGCAAAGAATACACTTTGCTCAAAAGGACTTTCTACTCAACTGTAGAATAGACCTGTTACGCATTGCCTGGCCTTGTCGTGAAGAGAGACGATTGGTTTGTCTATCGGCTCGTTCTATCAAAATAAAAAAATAATTATAATAATAATGAAATAATAGTTTACTCGATAAAAAGTAAACCATATAAAAACCGCTGTCGACGACCTTGTTTTTCGTAGGAAACCCTCCCAGTTCAACTATATGCAAAACTATGGTCTTTTTTTTTTTGTTATGTAAGTTTAGGCATATCTCCTAAAGGTATCCGTTACTTTCTTTGCTTCTTATAGACATAGAAACGTTGATAAGCCTGCGTGTCGCTTGGTGCAGAGGAAGATACTGAAGGCTAGTAGCAGCAGCGTTTCGTTGTGTTTTTCCATTGCCTTTATTTGAAGCTGCCTTCAGAGGATCTCGATCTACGTTAGACAACCGGCTGGCGACGGGTGCATTCTCTAGGTTCAAAATGCCTGGGAATTGCACCTCGCAATCGATTCTCAATCTAGCAAAGAGAATTTGGGCGGTCTTCACATTTGTTCACTGCGGTGCAAATATCCTGTGCTGTTTCAGAAGCCTTCTAGTTATCACTAAAGGCGAAATAAAATTATAGATACGTATAGCCTTTAATCTGACCAGATACTACGACCTAATTCACAAGATACCACCAGTAAGGACAGCTGGGACTTGCAAGCAAAACTAGTAGATCTATGGTCTCGACCACCTGATTTATTACCAGCTAAAATAAGAAACTTTATCAAATCTATAACATATATATATAACGTTACAGCGGCGCCGGGCAAACGCTGCCAGACCCAGCCAGAAAAGGTTAAACCAATGCATAAATTATTTCTCAATTGGTTTCTAATCTAGAATATCGGTAGGAAGCAATCGTAAGTTATTACTAATTGCACATATCTTTCGGATATCAGAATATGGACTTTTGCCTTTACACATTGTCTTGTATATTGACACAGTCTCTATAAAGCGGACTTTATAGGTACCATACAATCGAAAACGTTTCGTAAGCGTGCCAACATGATGACTTTCAACAGTAAAAACACTAAACGAGAAAACAAGCAAAGAAATCACGTAAGTAATTTACGGTGAGGTTATAACAGAGTACGTCACCCGAAACGGCCTTACCATCTCTAATTGTAGCACTGGCTTTTTCAGACTGTAGTGGCATAAGGCTAACCGATCACTGTTAATAGCACACGTACATGTCATGTATAGAAAATCAGCTATTTCTCTGTGGCTCAACTATGCACTAGGGGGCCAGTTGTGCACTGATTTAATATTCAGTACACAGAAATTCAACTCTCTCAATTTGAATAAATCGGTATGCTTTCATTCATCTCTAAGTGTTTTAAACATGTTGTAGACCTGCATGGAACGGCCCACTCTTTATGAATTTACGTATTCCGTGATGGCGCGCTGGTAGTGTATTTACGTTTACTGGGGTCGATGGTCTAGGTTGAAAATCGGGCGTAAGCACGCTTTGTTTAATGCTGAAAGGGCAATTACGTAGTTAAGGTAGCAGTAGAAACGAGACGTTCTTCCAGCTTCGGTTTTGTAACTAATCATGTCGCACGCTTCTTTTTTTAAAAATGTCCTTTTTTTAAATGCGAAATCTCGGTCTGATCCAGTAATGATTAGTTTCCTAACTGTGTTTCGCACAATGTAATCTAGCTGCTTTGATTGATATCAGCTTATTCGATGCACTCTCTGGGGATAAAACATAGACGTTGTAAGGATCGGGTGGGATGATTTGGAGTGCTTGAACCATGAATGCCCTGTGATTCTGGTGGACTCAATTTATAAGACGCTCGAGAGTTCGCGCTTCAGTAGCCATCGTGAATCTTTGTAACAGCAATTGGTAAATGCATCTATACAGATATACGTAACCACGCGAAGACGGAGAGTCGGTAAAACCAGACGAACCACAAGCCACTAGTTCAATCAGGCAATCAACCCTAAAGAATCCCCCAGCATACAAGGATCAGAGATAGCAAACGATATCCCATGCACGAATGGTTACCTAGTGAATACATCTGCGTTGTTTGTGAGTAAAGTGCAAGCAAGAAAAAGGCTTTTGTTTCATTTAAAGCGGTGTCCCCCCCCCCTCCCCCCCGGGATAAGAACACGGGCCTGAGCCCTGCACCATAGACGTTTATTGCTAACGCAGCTCCAGACGTTGAACTGGGAGACTCGTATCTAAAACCCAAATTTCATGATCCAGCAACCTGATTTTAGCACAACCGGTGACCCGACATCGACATCTCTGACTATGCAAAACTTCCTTTTTGCCTTATCATTCACTACCTACTATTATAATTAGCGTGACTGATTTCCTTCTGCCGTTCTGTATCTGTAAAAGCTGTTCGCTATAAAGTTCTTTGATGCCGGCGTTTCGCGGGTTATTGTACGGTTACCATGATTCTTTAATTAGTTAACTAATAATGAATCAAATAGTTCACTGCAAAGTGAGACCGGCCTTAAAAGTCACATCCTGTAGGACTTGCGGCACCCTCTTCTAAGTCATCCGTAGTTTACCCGAATAGTGCGACGGAGGTGGTATGGTCAGTACGGTAAAATGATATTGTAATAATAATGGCATTATTTTCTCTTTCCGGTTGTATCACCACCGTTCTTCTTCTCTTTCCTACGTTCAGCTTCATTTGGAACGGAAGTCCGCGAACATGAGCGTATCGGTGTCTGGTATTTACTATAATTTGAAGCGGATATGAATTAGAAAGAGTCCACTGATATTACGCTGAAAGCCGACAGGGAGTGCGCTATGACCTAGGTCGATATAAACAGGGCAAGAGAAAAACCAAAGTTGTCACCTTATCTGTCAGACTAAAGCGGATGCGCACTCCAAATAGATTGGTCTAGGATAAAATATAATTTCATGTGTATTATGATATTTCCGGCCCCTCGCCAGTACATTCTTGCCACTTGCTGCTATTACTTATTGGAGGTGAGCCTGAACAAGCCAAGGTTCGAAGGCCGGTATAAAAGCCTGCTGAGCTCAAAACGCGCTACCACATCTCGTCTCTAGCCGAGAATACAAGGTAAATATTTCCGCTCTAAGTTGAAAGCGTTTATTTTTTTTAATTTTTTAGAAAATATTTTTAGAAATTTTTTTAGAAATTTTTTTTTAGCCAGAGTAGAAGACCTAATCCTCATATCTCCTGTCGAAATTAGCCTATTTATTCCGGAGACATTTTGCAGGTAAAATGCTTAGACTCTATTAGAACTAAATGCAGTATAATTTTTGTTCAGGTATTAGTTGAAGCCTTATTTTGTGTTACGCAGGTAACTAAATTTGCGTGCGTCTAGAATGGATAAATCAGCCACTTTTCGTAGTATTAGATAGAATAATTCAGATTAGACATTGTCCGACCGGAAGCTAATAGGAATGTTTGATGCCGTGAAATTTTAATGGGCGACAAAACTTTAGACGATGCCCATATCTTAATGTTTGTACCGTGCGGAAACTAACTTCATGAAGTTGCGGTGTTAGACAAGAACAATTTCGTGCACAACGATCGAACAATGCAAATGCACTACCCGATTTTACGTATCGTGGATTTACTCATGTTACGGTGGCTGGCTTATGGATCGCTCATCGGCAATAGTTACAAACTCATTATATGAGTTGATAAAGCCTACAACTACCCACAGAAATAACCGCAATTTTCGTTACACAAAAAAGTAGTTGGACGATTCCTTCTATTAATATCCCATAGACAAGATGGGAAATCTAATCATATCGGCTTTATGCGTCATATACAGATCAGATATCAGAGGATCGACTTAGTTCCGATGATTAATATATTTGATTCTTTTCGATCCGATTGCAGATAGGTTTCACGATGCGTTTCTTAGTCGTCTTTTGCGGCCTGATGACTGCGGCCTGTGCCCAGCTGAGCTCAACGACTTTAGGCTCGGCCAAAAAGGGCTGCGACTTCGGCGTACCGATTAATGGCCAGATTGGATGGGTTAAGGTGCCTTGCGATAAAACCAATGAGGAGGCCAAGAAGATCGGCCTTGGTGCAGGGGCTGAGTTTCTTGGATCATCTCGCCTGGTATGCATCAGCATAGCGACTTAGCTTGAAACAAATTCAGACGGAGACAAAATGATAACATAAGTCATGTAAAAGGTAGCTTCGGATGTGTTGTTTACGCGTTTTCCTAATATTTTTCTATTTTCTGTCATGAATTAATTTGTCGAAACGTTAGTCGGGCTTTGTGGGAGGTGAGCAATACGCCATTCACGGGAAGGTCAATGGGAAATGCTGCAGCCAGCGTGTCGAAAAGAGTGCTCAGGCACAGCCCTGGAAGGTATATTTTATTTGTGTAATTACGATGTTCGCGCTCAAAATAATTTAATTAGAATAAGTCGATAATAATAATAATAATTACTGCATGGGACCAGAGGTCGGAAAACCTTTAAAAAAGATGATTTACGGTAGTTTTAGGTAATTGTATGCTCTATAGAACCAACTCGTGTGGACTTGAGATCAAACCACTCGGTGTGACGACGTCGTATGCTTAGAGGGCCTTTCTAGAATTGTCAAGTAGAAAATGGAAGTGCTCAGTCACGAATCCTAAATGTGTTGTCTTGTCATCTTCAGACGTCCGACCTTTGCTGCCACGATACGTGTCCAGCATGGATGAAGTGTTAAACTCACTAAGTTGGTGTCGTCTGAAGTTCGTCAACCCGTCGGATCTAATTCGATTCAACGAGCAGAATTTGAACAGATTAAACCTTTTTTTTGGTAGATTTTGATTCTAATAAATATGTACTAATCACTTATATGGAACTTTTTCATCAGGCCTGTAAATGTGTCTTTTTGAACAGCAGAGCGAGATAATTAAACTTTTAAACAAATTTATCAGCAACAATCTGCTCCAAAAGTATTTCGTACAAGTAGTAATAGGTTAAAACAGGCAAGAAAATGTTTAGTTAGTTTAGAGATCTTGAAGCGAGTCTGTACTGCCATGAGTCGCTTACTAGATATGAGGGAAAACTAGTCGACGCCACACTAGACCATGGTTAGATCCCATATTTGCTAAGTTCCCGAAGACTATTTATAAATAAATTTCGTTAATGATTACATGGATATGAAGACTCAAGACGGAAGCAAATGGTCAAAGAGTCTAAGCGAGTCCGCGAATTGGTCCCCTTGGCTTCACGTTGCCAATAACAAGTGCATGCTATATATGGCGAAGACCTTACAGCCAGTTGTGAAGAATCTATACTGATTCGTCTGAAGAATGCGCGTCTGACCAAGGGGTATGGTTATAACTGACCCAACTGGTTATCTGAGTATAGGTCAGGCATTATCTCTAATTGCGGCGTTGTGCCGTTTCATATTGACAGAAGTTTAGAGATCCAATACCGTAATATCGAAACAGTAGGTGATCAATTTTGTACGGGTAACTGCAGAGCTTAACGTCGTTTACATCAGTTCTACCAATTTTTATTACTTAAACCAATGGTCACTCGGCTTCAATCCACTTGTCACCCGGCATATCTTTCCAGAACCGACCTTCAGAATCCATTTTGCAATAAGCACAATGGAAGCTAGTTTAGCCTTGTTTCAGGGACCTAGCAGAATAGAGGGCTCATTACGAGCAGTAGAGAAGCACCGGATACGAAAAAAGGACAACTATATTTATCGCTCCTAATGGTCAAAATTAACTGAGGGACCAAAAAACATTGCTACACTCAGGTCCGAACCTAAAAGGGCTTCGGTCTTCTTCCAGACAGAAGAAGGCAAAACGGTTACCACTGCACCGCAGCACGAAGGGACATTCGTTCCTCACCTTGTTGATAGGCTTATTCGCTGTTTTTGTTGGTGAATTTCAGACTGAAAGACAGACGGATTTAGTATTGATAAGTCAAAAAATTGTACATTCACAGCAAAAACACGTTTCAGCTATTAAAGTTATTATTCAATCTGGCATCGAACGACACTATTAATTGTAACCTTATATGCTTTCGCTTCGTCTAATTCTTGTCACGTATATAAATTTACGCTTGGTGAAGGCTTCAGAACTAGAGAAAATATGGTAACATTTAAGAGATGTTGATGTTGATCATTTTGTTGCTTGTTGAAGTCTGCTCTAGTCCTGTATCTATCTAGCGCATGTGATGGTTTACTTTTTTGTCGAACAACATCAACCGGCTTTCTATGACCCATCACTAAGCTAGAGTACGTTATCAGGATATGCGTAGCGTTATCCTAATAATTTTCATTATTTGAGGGGGAACTTTCATTACGAAATGGTCTTTGTCGCGAAAAGTAAATTGCTTCTGATACGATGCGTTCGTTCTCTACTAAGCTATTTAGGTTAATGAGAACGAATTTTTAATATTCTCTCAAACTACGACCAGTATCTATAATCATACTGGCGGTATCTAGTTAATTGCTAACGAATAGATTCTTTAAACGTTTTGCCTATAATACGATGGTGAATACCAACCCCCGATGAATCACTGAGGTAAACTAGAGGGGAAAAATATCGTCGCTGGGTAAATTATCATCAAAGATGTTGTGCTTGTTGCCCTCTTGCGGATGTATTTTTCTCTATAAGCCGAAGAAAAATTTAATAAACTGTCCACAAATCGCTCGAAATGGGATCTTAGCGGAACACAATCATTATGCGTATAAACTACTACCATCTACCGTGGAAAAAAAGAAAAAGCTAGTCCAGGAATGCCCTTTTGATCGGGAGCAACAAAAAAAAATAACGAAGTGAATTTTTTTTGTAAATCTTTTTTATTACCAACTTTATACATTCATAATTATACTTAAATACTACGTTTGTAAGGTGAGCTCCGTTGTCTTTCTTCTTGATCGTTATCCTCTTTCGCCAGTATCAGCTGCTTTTTCCATATACTTAGCTGAGATAGCGGCACGAATAGTTTTTTGAAGTTTCTCTACCAGCCGTGAATTGTAATAGGTGTTTCCACAAAAAGATGTCAAGCAAAATTATGTCACATGATCTGGGGGGTCGTTCGATATCACGCCGCCTGGAGATAAGCCACTTTCCGAAGTGATCTTATAACAATGCGGTTACGTTATCAATGACGTAGGAGGGGGGAGGAGGGGGGGGGTAAAACGATTTGCTAGAAATCATATATCGTACAAACCCCTTGCAACGGTTTGGAGCACAAGAAAGTTTGAGATTGTTTCTTGGTAGCGAACCTTCGGACCACATGCCACACTGTACCGCAGGGATTCTTAGTACACTTATACAGGCAGAAATTTTCCTTACTTGCGCAGCGCTTACGTAAAGTTAGACAAATTTAAGGACAATATCAGTGTTTCCATTTCCATACGAAAAAGTGGCCAAACACCGGACGAAGTGAATACCTGTCATAAAGAAAGCCCAACGAGCCCACCTTACTGAACTTTCATATTTAAGACCAGGTATAATCTGCAGTTCAGGCCCGACTATGGAAAACTTCTTTTCCTGTGAGTGTCTGTTATTGTATATCATTATTTTTCGCTGTGGACGTGCCAAAAGAAGTCCTCTGCTCCAATATTATCCCAGCTCAAAAAACATCCTTTTTAAAATATACCTAGTAGATTTTACCTTTTTCAGTAGCATTAAACAAGTCATCTCAAGCGAGTCAATATAACTTCGCACACAATAATTGAGCTTTCAAACTATCCAACCTTTACGAGCTTTTGTCTGTTAGCTCTGAAACTACTGCAGAGCGTCCTCGAGAGGCTGCCGCCGTTCGCCGTCAAGCGAACCATAACAGGAATAAAAGTTTTACCTTTTGATACCTATGCTAATAGCTCTTGCATCTAAAATCGTTTAGTTAGAATATCGTTTACCAGTTGCTTTATTCTAACTGAAAACGGAACGCAAAACAGTATTTTAACGGGATCCGAGGATAGCTTTAGGTAATTGCGCCCTTTAAAGAGCCAGAGGACCATGGGGATTCGTTTTGATAATGCCTGCTTAGCAGAGTTCTGTTAAATAATAAGCGAAACATGCACATTATGCTAGAGATGGCATGGTTTGAGGAAAAACACGTCCTATTACGACCTTCAAACAGCTGACCTTTCCTCCTCCTCCTCCAAAACCGGTTTAGAATACGGCCAAGTAAACGAAATTTTATTTGAATTAAGTATTACTTAAACTATGATTTCTTAGCACTACTTATTATTATTAGTAGAATTATTAAGAGTACTAGTAGCTTTTAAATTGCCTTCCTTATTGACTCAATTTATATTCCATTAATTTCTATGTTTTTAGTCCAGCATCGCCGATAGACATTTTAATGGACGGCTGGCTCCCAGCACGAAACGAAATGTGTCTATACCCGGAATCGAACCTAGATAACAGCGGCAACTACGTTACACAATAAGCTTTGATTTTTTGGTGGATACACAATTTGATGGACCTGAATCGCGATAGAGAGTGAAAAGGTCACACTTTATTTGTTTAACGTCCGTTTAAGTAGTCCCCTAACCTGCTTTCTTAGATGCCCTTCCATCATCAAAGGTTTGCCAGTGATCTAGTCCTAAAGCTAGAGAACTGATCTTATTCGACATTTTATAATTACCTAATTCATAGGAAGTACTAAGAGAGTTAAGTACTTCTATGCTGAAATTGACGCAGAGGTTCTTATGCAGCTACATACATTTTTGGACCATGTCTGTCCTGTGACTTTCACAAAAACGTGGGTCAAAAATGATATTTTGACATTCCACGGTCACATTGAAAGTATACATGTTTCACTGGCCCTAGCGCTCTTTGAAAATTGCTACGAATGTTGACACACCTTGTAAATTATTTTTTTAAATAGCAACATAATGGTGCTACACGTATAATTAAAAATAAAAATCTATTTAGTTTATTAAGCCAGCCCATTTTATTTAATAATAGCGGTGATATTATTTACCGGATTCCATGTTTTGCAAACAAAACCTGTTGGTTGGTCGAGCTGGCGAAATGACCTGAGTCAAAGTCCGAGAAGATGCGAAAAAAAAAAAAAAGATAGGCCAAGGAACGCAAACCTTTTGTCATTAAAGGAAGACCGAATCCTTTTGCAGTCGCGTGCCAAAAACTTTCCAAGCTCGAGAATGGTGTGATTTGTAAGCAATGTAGATGAGGACGTTAGAAAATTTTGAAGAATAGCTACAACTGTTTCCAAGCAAAAGAAGCCATTGAATGCAGGCTGTTTCCGGAAAACATCTACAGGATTGCAAAATCGGCACCCTGCAACGCGCCCGCAAAGACTACACTTCCCACACATACTATGAATCAGCCCTCTTTTGTTCGTACGGACGCTGTGGAACCCTCTATGAGAATTACTACGCAGTTGAATGTCTATATTTAACTCTGTAAGTGTCTGGCGTGACAGAGAGAAAACTGCATCTGAATCTTCAACCAGATCCGCCTATGTTTGGGGTTACTCTAAAAATGTCTATACATTTACTAGTTTATATACGTTACATATGCTGGATAATAAATACTTTAAATAGATGAATTTATTATAAAATTGACACCTTCCGCTAACTTCCGCACCAATGTAAGTAACCTAGTTTGTTAAGTCAGCCCTGATGGTTTGAGATTCGGGCCAATCGAAATATAAGTGCTATTTGCCATTGCAGTCACGGGGAGACACGTCGCAGCTCAATGCTCATATACGCACTCTGTGAGTGCTAAGCCCAGGCGACGTCTACCGATCCCCTTTGTTTTAACTTGGTTCGTCTCAACATCGTAACTTCGGCGTAAGATGCAGATAAGCAAACGCTTTGGCACTTCTGGAGCCCCAGAAAACGTAATTAACTAATTTGTTATGAT